TCACAATTAGGTGGTGTAATGAACCTCATAAGAATTAAACTTTTACAATATTGTGGCACGATTACAGTGTAGACTAATATATCACGTCATACTTTTCCCCAAATACAACCAATCAGGCAAGTGCTATAGATTCTTAATTCTTTCAAAAGATAAAACGTCCAACTTGGCCTTATTCCCCAGACATGCCCAATCGGCTAGCGGGCAAACGTACAAACGATGAAAAGACCAACTTGACCATTATCTTATTATTTGGATTTTGGACCAATAAATTTGAGTCCAATTATTAATTCCTATATTTCGTAGAAAATACCACGTAAAAGCAAATGCACATTCATAACATTGTATAAAGTTGCCTAACCTAAGTTGACAGTCACAATTTTTTTTTTCAAATTTTTTCCCACATCTTTAAAAACAAATGCACATTTACAGCATTATATAAAATTGCGTAATCTAAGTGACAGTCGCATCATTTTTCCCATGTTATAAAACAAGTATCATTATTTTTTCTTTTTTTCTTTTTACCCCAGGTAGGATTACATGCACTAGTTCTGTACATAAGCAGAGCAAATAATCCACAAACTANCTTTTTTTTTTTTTTTGTTCTTTTTCATTTCTGTTTTACAGAAAGCCAATATATTACATATATCTCCAGATATAGTGCATTCACCGCAAAGAGATTCACATTCCAGATGCCAATTCATAATGTTGCAAATATCTAACACAAATCACTTTACTGCTTTTGTCCATGGGAATGGTTAAATTCTCGCCATTCATTTGTGCTGTCATGGCACCAAAAGGAGATGAACAAAGCTAAAAGCTTTGCCCATCACATATCACCATATCAAAATTATCATCAACAGAGACCCTTTCTGTACCTTTTATATCCAATTCCTATTTTATGGACTGGACACATTCGTTGGTTGATCTTCAACAATAGCTTCTGGGGGATTCTCTTGGTCTTCAATAATGGTTTCTGCATGATTATCGTCTGTATCATCATCATTTGTATCCAAGTATGCTTGAGAGCTAACTAGATGTCCCGTCAAATCCTTATGCTTTAGATTGCCTGACAAATTCGAAGACCAAGTTTAAATAAACGAGTACTTTGCAGCTCGTTGATCACAGACAAAAAAACCGCTAAAAAAGTTTACCCATCCAAAATGAGCATCCACTCGGGGTTTCATAAAGAAGAGCCTTGACGTGAAACAGAAATCGTTCCATAGATCTCTTTGTGGCGGGAATTTTTCCAGTTATAGAAGTTTGTTTTGAGCCCTTTGGAGGAAGCAAAAGAGTTTACGTGAAGCAAGTCTAATGGTAAATAGACCACACAAAAAAATAAAGTGAACATAGTTTGATAATAGATATGGGTTTAAGAAGCTAACCTTTGCTTCTGAACATAGTGTCTGAATGGTCCTTGTTGCTTTCTGGAGCTCTCTTATCTGGGACAATACCCACAAGAAACTTGTTAAAACATTTGTATAAAGAGTGTTCTGATCAATAAAATTCCGCTATATCAAGTTCTCACCAAATTAAGAATGAGGTCCTTGTGCATCTGAAACTGGGCCTTTAAGAAATTAAAAACTGGAGAGCAAAAGAATTGGCTTACTAGACAATCATAATACAACATCCCTGGGAAAGGAGCATTTAATTTTACAATTATGATGCCAACTTAATATCCCTCCTAAATAGATCAAACAAATAAACAAATAAAACAGGTTACCTTATATACACCATCATTTCTACTACTAGTGTATTACACCATGTTCAGAATGATCTTCTCTCTTATCCAATATCTTTAGAAAAATTAAACGTACCTTTAAGGAAGGAATCAATGAACTTCCCGCCGTACTTGACAGCCATTGCATGAACACTCACCTAATTCACCAGACGTAAATTTTGTTAGAGATACAATGGACTTGCAACAGCATTATAAAACCAAAAGATCAAGGAAACCACCTTGTCATTATCTCTGCACACATTTATTAAGGATACAAACACATCTACAGACTGCAGAATTCTCTCGAGGAAACTCTCTACATTTTCGGGTTTGAGACCACCTCTTGGCTTCTCTTGGGATGCAATTTCCTTAGCCTAAGCAAGAAATACGCAAGCTACAGATAATTTCATGTCTATCACAAAACGAACTTACCAAGTTCATTCTTTCATTGACACATTACTCAGTGGAATAAGCTACTCACCAAATTGATGAGAGTGGAAATGTTCTCCTCAAGCTGAATAGGAAAATATATATACGATTAAATTAAACATTAAATTGAAAATATTTCCAGGAGAAGAAAAAGGGAAAATGGAATTTAGCTCACCATTACTCGATACCAGACCATTATTGTTGCAGAGCAGAGTGTAGGAAAAGTCTCATTATCATCATTGTCACCCTCTAATGCAGTTACAGAAGAAGATGAAGATACCTAGTACAAATTAAAGCGACGTGATCTGGGGCCAATATAACAATTTAGGATTAAACTGAATAAGCCTTGATATGGGCCACGAGTAGAACTCATCCCCAAAAGCTAGCTCTAAGGGAGAAGGTGCCCAACCCACACTTCACACAACAAACATATCTCCTAAAACCTGCCCTCACAAGCAACATGCCAAACCAAATGGGTAGGGTCCAACCCCAACATCGCCTCCAAACAAACAAACTCGGCTGCTCTGATACCATGATAAATGGGCTTTGGGTAGAACTCATCCCCAAAAGCTAGCTCTAAGGGAGAGGGTACCCAACAACATACACAATAACAGCCAAGCAACTAATCAACGTGGGACAAACATAACTTCTAACAAGCCTGACCCTCAAATTATTGCTCAAGAATAAAGTCACAAAAGAGCATGAATATGGTGGCTGACAACTTATTCATTAATCCAAAAGTATATGCATTTGAGCAGTCAACGACTTAAATGAGAACACGTATAGACACTGCAAAGTTACGTATGCTTTAGATCATCTCGTGCCTCACTTTGTAAAACAATAACTATCCTATGAACCAGGAAACTTATCTAATAAGGGGCTTAGGACAAGATATAAGTTTGATCCATTGTACTATGTGCGTAGATTTATATACCTGCAAACTATTTACAAATATCAAGTTGTTTATACCTTCATATATAAGCAAATTAAAAATGAACTTTATTTTAGATAATGTTTTTGTTCATTTTGTTTAATTTTGTTATTTGTTTTAACCATGCAGTTTTGCAAATTATGATACTTTAAATATATATTGTATAAATTAATTTCTAATTTTTAAATTTATAACTAGATATAATTTACATTTAGAATATCATGCTGTTTGACCTATAATAAAGGAGAAAACGAGTCTCTAGGTGTATTTTGCTTTTATATGTAATTTTTATTTTGAAACAAAACAGAAATTATTTAAATTTGTATAAACTGAAATTTATTTATCCCACATGAGAAAATTAAAATTATAAAAGAAAATATTTTGGCTCTTGAAGTTGGATGAGGTTTTGACTAACCTCCTTTTTTTTTTCTCACTAGTTTCCTTCTGAGGTATGTAATTTAGTCAATGAACCTCCCAATGGCCAATTTCAGCAAAACAAACTGACCATTTGAGGGAATATGACTACCACATCGAACTATGAGGTCACAGTCATAATATTTCCCTACAATTTCTTTTTGCCTCCTAAACTGCACGCAGTTCTTGTCTTTGATGCTTAATGTTTTATTTAGACAAGTTGCCTCATCACGCGATTCGAACAAGAAACTCGTAATCTCTCTCCCTCTGTATGTGCGAAATTATATATATCGCAAATAAGACTTCACTAAAAAATTAAGGCACCTTAGGTAAAATAGAGCGGGCAAGCTTATTCAACGTATCGGAAGTTGATTGGCAGTTTCCCAAGTAGATACGGAGTATCTTGTGGATCATTTCCCCCTGCAATGATAAGTAGAATAATTTTGATTTCTCTAAAGCTTTTGACATACCAAGAATATATCCTGTCGACACATGTCTAAAATGCAAACAGTTGAACTCACTTTCGCTTTTGAACTACCATCAACATCATCCTTGACACAATTGTGCTTTAAGAGTTTTTCAGCATAACTCTCTAGTTTGTTGCAGAGAAAAGGAACAATTTCGTTGTTAAATCCCGTGCATGCATCCTTTCCATTTTGGCATATGGATCCACCGAGGATCATACGAATAGACGTAATCATCACCTCTAGAGTCAGCAAGACCTCAAAAGCGAGTGTAAAAGAGAATTCGATTTCTGCCAAAAAAAAATGAAGTATATAACCTAAATTATTTTAACAAAAAATCCTATTTCATTAAAACGTCATATAAAGGGGGAGACTATGCAACATACCCACATCAAAGACAGCTCCAAGGAAACTATAAGCACCACAATATAAATAATCTGTATTCCCTGGTGAAGGAACCGGTTCGAGTCCTTGGAAAAAGCAATCAGGTGTGTCCATTGGTTGGAAGGCCTGAAGAAGACCTGAGAGGATGGTTTTCTCCTTCAGAGAAACTGCCAGATGAAGTATCTACAAAAAGAAAACCCGAGCACGAAAAAAGTTCAATAATTTGAAAAACAGAATACAGTGAAGGATTAAGGGTGTCACAAAGCAAAAGGGAAATATTCTAATAGAATGAATTAAACAGCGCCAAGTGATGTAGAAAAACTATGTGGATTGAAGCTAAGTCAGAATCACCTTTCCAAAGCAGAGAAGTGTCTCTTTAAAAACTGAAATAGAAGTAAGGGCTGGGGATGCAGAAATGCTCGTGTTGATGATCTCTGGGTTTGCAGCCAATCTACACTGCTCTTTCCAGTGTTCTTGACAAGTTTCAGAACCTACATTTCAGTATTATCAGTTAGAAAAAATTATGCATATCTTCAGCATATTTTGCCAACAAAAAGGTTCACCAACCTTCTCTAAGAATGTGCCTTGCACTGTCAAAGTTTTTCCTAAGATATGGAAACAAAGGTGGTATCTTTCTTATGAAATCATTGGTTTGCAGTCCAAGCAATCCAGCTGAAGCATTGGAACCTTTTGCTGAGTTTTGTTTTCTTGAGGGACTTGAGCACAACAGCTTTTGGTGAAGATCACGCATGAGATACAAATGAAGAGGCAACTGGTGCAATTCAAGTGAAATTGCATTGTATGTGATCTAATGAACCAAACTAGATAGAAGTATGATTTCACGATGTAAATTGGAATTCATTCAAAATATTCCAGAGACGACCATGTATTTCAATTCCCATCTTAATATGATACTGTCAATTGAATTTTGACTTTGTTTGGTAGAAGTATAGTAGCACGTTAATTTTGCTATGCAACATATCTTTGCATGTGAATCAACCCATCCTAGACACCTTAAGGTATGGGTATCCTCTAACGTTAATGTTAGTAGAAAGTCCTGAAAACCATGGTCATATTTACAGTAGAACAGTCGTTCAGTTGTGCACGGTACGCCTCCAGCAAAAAATCATGGCTGACAAAGTGATGAGTTAACTCAATCATATATATGTACAGATTTTGCAGAACCAAGGTGGTGGCTCTCTGGAACACTACAGTAATGGCTTATACACTTATGACAGTATTATTACTTTGAACTCTGTCCAAGTTTTCACCTTGTGATAGTATAAAATCCAAAACTGTATTTCTTGATATGAGAAATGATAAAAATAAAAAAAAAANCTAAAAGTTGATATTACTACTCCAATTTATATTATAAACAAAATACTCCATCAAAATTTAAGTTGCAACTTGCAAACCACCCGACATTGGTGGAGATAAAAGTGTATACTCTTACCCTGTCATTTTAGTAACGACTCGAACAAATGTACAGCACAAGAAGACATAGGGATGAACAATATGAAATATAGGTGGCCTCCAAAATGTTACTTTAAGATACGACAACTTATCAGACCTTTTGCTATCCTTATATACTTTTATATATTATCCAGTTAAATTGGACTGCGCATATACATAGAGATGTAAAGAGAGTGCAACATACATTGTTACAGACTAAAACGATGCAAGAGCTGCTAGCTTGACAAAAATTGAAACAGAGATAGATACCTTGGCGGATGGGTCTGCACAACAAGAATCTTGATCTTTCTG